TAGTGCAGTTCCCTTTGGTAGCCCGAGGATAGCCTGGGTTAGTGCAGTTCCCTTTGGTAAGCCGAGGCTAGCCTGGGTTAGTGCAGTTCCCTTTGGTAGCCCGAGGATAGCCTGGGTTAGTGCAGTTCCCTTTGGTAAGCCGAGAATAGCCTGGGTTAGTGCAGTTCCCTTTGGCAGCCCGAGGCTAGCCTGGGTTAGTGCAGTTCCCTTTGGCAGCCCGAGGCTAGCCTGGGTTAGTGCAGTTCCCTTTGGTAGCCCAAGGCTAGCCTGGGTTAGTGCAGTTCCCTTTGGCAGCCCGAGGATAGCCTGGGTTAGTGCAGTTCCCTTTGGTAAGCCGAGGATAGCCTGGGTTAGTGCAGCTCCCTTTGGCAGCCCAAGGCTAGCCTGGGTTAGTGCAGTTCCCTTTGGCAGCGAGGCTAGCCTGGGTTAGTGCAGCTCCCTTTGGCAGCCCGAGGATAGCCTGGGTTAGTGCAGTTCCCTTTGGTAGCCCGAGGCTAGCCTGGGTTAGTGCAGTTCCCTTTGGCAGCCCGAGGCTAGCCTGGGTTAGTGCAGTTCCCTTTGGCAGCCCAAGGCTAGCCTGGGTTAGTGCAGTTCCCTTTGGTAAGCCGAGGCTAGCCTGGGTTAGTGCAGTTCCCTTTGGTAGCCCGAGGCTAGCCTGGGTTAGTGCAGTTCCCTTTGGCAGCCCGAGGCTAGCCTGGGTTAGTGCAGTTCCCTTTGGTAAGCCGAGGCTAGCCTGGGTTAGTGCAGTTCCCTTTGGCAGCAAGGCTAGCCTGGGTTAGTGCAGTTCCCTTTGGCAGCCCGAGGTTGGTGGTTTGGCACCTGGGTTGGTGCAGTTCCCGTTAGTAGCCCCTGGGTTGATGCAGAGCCCCTGGGCAGCTCCAGGACCACAGACTGGCATAGCCCCTCTTGGTGTCAATGCTTTGCAATGGGCATAGCCCCTTAGAGTGAGGGGTTCGAGGCTGGCACTGTCAGGTCCCACGTTGTCAGACTCAGTCCCACAGCCCTTGGGAAGGGCTTTCATGTCCATGCAAGGTGGAAGCTGCTGAGGTGCTCTGTAGACAAGGCAGGAGCTGGCCACTGCAGCTGGGTGTCCCGTGCACAGTGTTGTGTAGTTTTGGAGATAAGGTGTTGCAGGAAGGATGAAACCTTTCATTGGCTTGTCAAGGTGGTAGGACCACAGCAGGTCAAATCCTCCTAAGTGTGGAGGGGTGAAAAGCCTCTCCTGGGTGTTCTCCACATTTGGGATGAAGGGTGAGACCCTGCCTCTCCTCCCTGCTCATTGGGTGTCTTCTACTCTGCAACAGGTACATCATGACAAGTGGCCGCACCATGGAGTCCACCAAGGAGTTCTTCCAGAAACATCGCTATTTTGGCTTGAAGAAGGAGAACGTCATCTTCTTCCAGCAGGGCATGCTGCCTGCCCTGGGATTCGATGGGAAAATCCTGCTGGAGGAGAAGGGCAAGATCGCTATGGCACCAGGTTGGTGGCCAGGGGTGAGACGTGCTGCTGAGGAGCAGCTTTTGGAGCTGCAGTCTTCACTGTGACCTGGCCCACGGCTGACTCAGGCTGGGAGTGTCTGTCTCGACAGGGAGGACAGGGACACAGCTGGGCTGCTGACCTTCCACATCAGCCCACGGGGAAGGAGGATGAGTGTGGGTGGCTGACAGGGGCGTTGCTGCAGCCCCAGGGGTGTGTTCCCTCTGCAGATGGCAACGGGGGCCTGTACCGGGCCCTGGGCTCACACGGCATCATGGACGACATGGAGCGGAGGGGAGTGCAGAGCGTCCACGTCTACTGCGTGGACAACATCCTGGTGAAGGTGGCTGACCCCAGGTTCATCGGGTTCTGCCTGGAGAAGGGAGCAGACTGTGGGGCCAAGGTATGGTGTTGGGAGTAGGCAGGCACTGCTTCTGCAGAACTGGGTGGGCTCTGTCCTGCTCCTTGCCTGACTTCCCTGACTTTACACCCTTCACTTGCTGGCTTGCCACTAGCAGGAGGGATAGCTAAGTATGTGGAGCTCGCTGGTGAAGTAACACATGCTGCTAGAGTCCTGCCTGCCCCTGGGACAGTCCTACCTGCCCCTGGGACAGTCCTACCTGCCCCTGGGACAGTCCTACCTGCCCCTGGGATAGTCCTGCCTGCCCCTGGGATAGTCCTGCCTGCCCCTAGGATAGTCCTGCCTGCCCCTGGCATCCTGGAGGATGCCTGGCACTGCTCTTCTGCCTTGCACAGGGATGTGGCACCAACAGGCCCAGAGCTTGGAGATCCCCAGAGCCAAGAGGCTGCTTGGGAGCCCTGTGTAGCTGGCTGGTGCACACCTGGGTGCTGGGCAGCTCTTTTCTGGATGGCTGTGGGTAGCACAAGCAGACAGGATCCTTGCCATAAGCTGCCAGCTGTCCCCAGCCTGACATCCTGGGCACCAGACCAGGACACGGGGGGTGCAGCTGACGCTGAACCCAGCCCCATTTCTTGTGGATAGGGCATTGCACACTTCAAGCTTTACTTAAAGACTGGCTTGACAGCCAGAGGTTTTGTTTGCACTGGGCTCGGCTCTGGCAAACAGGTGAAAGGACTGACTGGCCTTGCAGCTTTCAGAGGGTAAGCTGAGAAAGGCAAGGAAGTTTCTCCTCCTGGCCTGCATGAAAGAGGAAATAAACCTTAGCACGCAGAAAGGAGAAAGCCCTGCGCTGCTGCATGCCACCACTCTGTGTGTCAGTGGTGGGTAGGGATTTGCTGGGGTATCCCACACTCAGATGGAGCTGTGTGAGGTGCAAGGAGGAGAGGAAGGTCAGGGGGATGGCTCTGCTGAGCCAGCAACCTTCTGGTTGTGCATAGCAAGCTGGCTAAAAATATCCGTGCCTGCTGCCAGCTGCAGGTTGGCTTGGTGCCACATCCTGCTGTGCCCTCTGGGCGTGTCTCACACCTGTCACCAGCCCTGCCATCGCAGCTTCCTCCAGTCCCCAGTGCCAGAAGCAGCTGGGAGGGCTCCAGCATCCCCATCCCAGCAGAGGGAAAGGCCTGGTCCAGGCCTGCTGTTCACAGGGGAGTGTGTTTGAAGCGTGGGGCTTTGGGTGCTTTCCCTGACAGTGCTTCCCTCGGGCAGGTGGTGGAGAAGACCAACCCCACGGAGCCGGTGGGCGTGGTGTGCCGTGTGGACGGCGTGTACCAGGTGGTGGAGTACAGCGAGATCTCCCTGGCCACCGCCCAGCAGCGCGGCCCGGACGGGCGGCTGCTCTTCAACGCCGGCAACATCGCCAACCACTACTTCACCACTGCCTTCCTGAAAGACGTGGTCAAGTAAGGGCTGCTGGAGTGCCAGAGCAGGAGTGCTGCTGCTGAAGTGCTGCTGCTGCTGGGCAGAGCTGGCTGTGCCTTGCTTTCTGCTGGTTGAGCTCCAGGCGTGCTGGGATGGAGCCCCTGGTGTCTGGCCCTGCACAGCTGGTCTGACCCCCCCTCTCTGCACAGCCCCTTCCTTCACATAAGGTTTCTCTGGGCCATATGTGGATGCTGCTCCCAGAGCGCAGGCATGTGGGGCTGTCTCTCCTGGCTGCTGTGGGGACAAGCAGCCCGTGCCTTGGGGCAGCTGGGGTCAGAGCAGGACAGCTGTCCTGCTGCAGCAGGGGCTGAGCTGGGGACGTGGCTTGCCTGGGCGAGTGACGTCTCTTTCTTGGCCCGTTACAGCACTTACGAACCACAACTGCAGCACCACGTGGCTGAGAAGAAGATCCCACACGTGGACATCACTACAGGGCAGCTGATCCAACCCGAGAAGCCCAATGGGATTAAGATGGAGAAGTTTGTCTTCGACATCTTCCAGTTTTCCAAGTATGTCCTTTGCTCTCCGTGGGGTCCAGGCTGGCTGCTGGCTCTGGGGCAGCTCTGAGAGCCTCTGGGGTTGTGCCAGGGTGTGCCCACTGGTGCTGCCCGGGGATGGGGGTAGGCTGGCAGCTGGAGGGATGGGCTTTGTGTGCCTGTTGCTGGGCTGAGCCCTGCTCCTGTGCCAGAACATCTGCTGACCCTACGGGCCAGGCCCTCCCCTCCCTCCTGCGTGGCTGTGAAAACAGCCTGTGGGTGTGGGCTGGGGCAGGGCTGTGGGCCCAGCTCAGCCACCCTGGCAGGGGAAGCAGCCACAGTTTCCAGACCTGAGCCTCCCACGCTGTGTTCCCCCAGGAAGTTCGTGGTGTACGAGGTGCTGCGTGAGGATGAGTTCTCTCCCCTGAAGAACGCCGACAGCCAGAATGGCAAGGACAACCCCACCACAGCCCGACATGCCCTGATGTCCCTGCACCACTGCTGGGTTCTCAATGCAGGGGGGCACTTCGTGGATGAAAACGGCACACGCATCCCTGCCATCCCTCGGTGAGCTGCTGCTCCACTTGGGGCTGGATACTGAGCACAAGGCAATCCCAGCACTGATAACGGTGTCACAGAAGAGACTGGCTATGGGTCCCCTCTCCTGGGTGATCTGTGGAGCAGAGCTGGCTGTGAGTTGTGTGGTGGCAGCAGGAGTGGTGCTCAGCCAGCAGCAGCAGTTCAACACCTGAATCCTGCCAGCCTCCATTGCACAGCCAGGGTTGGCTCTGCAGGGAGGAGGTGGCTCCCTAAAGCCAGAGCAGGCAGCAGATCCGTGCAGCCAGGCTGGCATCAACACATCCCTCGAGCACAAGACCTCCCACCGCCCTCTTTAGGGATCAGCAAACCCCAGACTCGTTTGGCTCTGGTTTTCCCCCCTTGCTAACCCTTGTTTATTCCCATGTAGCGTCACAAACGGAAGGTCAGCTGCCAGCCCAGCAGATGTCAATGACAAGTAACTATTGGTGTCCCAGGTGCATGGTGGCGGGGCTGTGCTGAGGGACTAACGGGCTGCAGGCGGAGCAGCGTGCCAGGCTAACGGGGCCGCATGCGGGCGCTGGGGCATGGCACCACCGGGCACGGGGGCTTCTCCTGGTGGCGGGCGCAGGCAGCTCCGCTCCCGGCCGGGCTCCTCTCGCAGGGATGACTGGATGGGGCTCGTGCTCTTGGTGCAGGATGGCAGCAGCCTGGTGCTGTCTGCACGCAGCCCCCAGGGGTCACAGCACGGCAGGGTCCCAGAGCTGGGGATGGCTGCCGTCTCCTCCCGGTGTCCGCCAGGCAGACCCAAATGGGATTAAAAACACGGAGCAAACGTCAGGCAGGCTTTGATGTAGCATGTGTGAATCTGAGCACAGCAGCCAGCTGGGCTTTGTGTGACTCCAGCTCTTGAGTTTGGAAGATCCAGAGCGTGACACCAGGGAAAGCCCCTGGCTCAGTGCTTGGAAGTTTACGGGAATACACAGGGAAGCTTTAACTCTTCCTTGTGTTCTGTAGGCACTGACGTGCTGGGACTTGGAGCTGGAGAGTGTAAATGACTCACAGAATCAGCAATCTTGTTACCTTCCCTCCTTTCAGAAGCTGTATCTTCAGACACTTTCTGGTGGGATACAGCTGTTTTATCTCTGTTTTAATTCCAGACTTCCAAGTATTTTCAGGCTTACAACTAAGCTACTACACTAGTTAGCATGTAGGAGAAAGGATGCACCTTGTCTTACATTTACCCTTCATTACCAGTTAATGTCAATTTTTTTTTTTTTAAACAACTATCTTGAATCTAACACTCAAGGTAAACTCCAGTGTGTGTTGGGCTGGGTGAGTTTTATCTACTGACACTTGGGACAGGAGGGGGCTGAGTGAGTGCGTGGCAGCAGGAAGGAGCCTCAGCCTGGGTGAAGGGAGTGTTGTCACGGGTGGCATCCTGCCATGCCTGCCTGGCTGCTGTGGCCACTGATGGGAAGGGCCACGCTGGGGTGCTGTTGCCATGGCTGCTTGCTGGGTCCACACAGCTGCACTCCCAGCTGGATCCAGGATCATCCAAGCGTGTCCTACGGAGGCTGGTGGCAGCACTGGTGTGGTTCTGACATTTTGCTCACCAGCTCCAGCCCACAGGCAGAACAGAGGAGGCGAGATGATCTAACAGGCAAAGGCAGAAGGGGCAGACAGTGTTTCAGGGAGTGTTTCTGAGGGAGCAGGAGGGCTTACCCTGTGTCCTCAGGTTGTACTTTAAGCAAGAGAGGGCTTAAAGCAAGACCTCTCGTGTCCAGCTGAACGGGCAGGTGCTCGGTGAGTGCATCTCACATCACCCAGGGCTGCAGGAGGAGAAGGAAAGGGTGACTCGTTCCCAGGCAGCATCAAAGACAGTGGGGCTGGGGGCACAGCCACTGCTGTGGTTACACACATGGAAAGGCACCAGGAAAGCCCCATCTAAAGCTCTTTTCCCTTTCAGTCGCTGCTGGTATCTAAACTTTAGCTGGCATCTCTGGAGAGCACGCAAGGCTTGACTAACCCAGGGCAGCTCTGCGCTGGCAGGGTCTGTGTGGGCCCCAGGCAGCCCCTGAGCCTGCGCCTGGCCTCCGCAGATCTTGGGCCCGTCTGTGTCCCCCCCTGGGCTGTACCTGACTCTCCTGACTGTACATTTGTCTCTGCAGCTTGAAGGATGCAAACGACCTGCCAATCCAGTGTGAAATTTCTCCCCTGGTGTCCTACGGAGGAGAGGTGAGTAGTGGCTCTGCAGAGCTCGGGGGCCCTCGCGGATGGAGCGGGCTGGCAGGGCACACATGTGAGGGGATAAGGCACAAAAGGGACTGCAGGTCACTGGGGAGCTTTTTGGGGCAGTGCCCCCCTGGGTGCCAGCACAGGAGGGGAGCAGAGGCCCCGTGAGCAGCGCAGCAGAGCGGGTGATGTGCTGTGTTCTGATGAGCCACTCCTCGTTCCCCTAGGGTCTGGAGAAGTACGTGAAGGACCGAGAGTTCCGCACACCTCTGATCATTGACGAGGATGGGATCCACGAGCTGGTGAAGAACGGGATGTAGAGGCAGCGTGGTGCCCGTCCTGCCAGGAGCTCACAGGCTGATGGCTGGACCTGGCAGGGACAGCTCTGTGCAGAGCAGGATCTGACCCACTCGCTTCTTGGCACGTTGTATGCTCCTATTTATATTTTAATTTAAAAACCAAACACTATGGATTCCCCTGCCACAAAGCACAGCTGTGGTGCTGCTCTTTGCTCTCCAGGCTGTGGGCATTTATTTTTAAACATGTATATAGTAATAGTCATTGTACATGCAGAGAGAGGATTTTTATGGTACGGGGCTGGGTTTAATCTTGAATTTTTATTTTTTTTAAATCTACATGACTATTTTTTTTTAATAGGGTCCTTGCCATTGCCCATGTCCTCCCTTTTGGTCATCCTTTGTATATTGCACAACTGGAAGCCCCCAATTAAACTCTGAGTCCCTCCTGTTTGTCATCTGGTGGTGTTTGAGTGACAGTGACTTTCCAGCAAGAGGCTCATGGAGCAGGGAGCTGACTGAATCACGCCAAGTGCTGTGTTCAGTGCAGTGAGGGTGGCTGCAGACAGAGCCTCTAGCCTGCGCTGCTCATTTAGGGCCTTCCTGGAGGAAGCAGAGAGTTGCACCCTCCTCTCTCATTTCTGCAAACAGTGGCAGGCCTTGAGCAGGTAGGAACAGGGAGGTGTGCTCAGGGTGAAACCACTGAGCCCTCCAGCAGTGCCATGTGCCCTCTGCTTTTCCTGGGGGGAATCTGGCTCCTGCATGAGCCCAGTGCCGAGGAGTGTGGTGTCCTGATAGCCTCGGGCAGAGCAGCTGTGCTGCCTCCCCTCCTGGTTGGGAGGAAGGATGTAGAGCTTGGCCAGCCCCTCTCCTGCTCCCGATGTGGTCCCAGCCTCCTGCTGCCCTGGGGCTGCCTGGGGAAGGATTTTCAGGCCTGGGAATGGGACCCAAAGCACTCCCTCTGGGGGGAGTCACCAGGTGCCCCCCAGGTTCAAAGGTGGCTGCTGAGCATCCTGGGCTCAGCCAAGCACTTGGTTCCCCAGGCCCCGTGCCTGGGCCAGCAGGGCGGTGTGGGGGATCCTGGCTGGCTCTGTGCCTGCTGCTGGCTCACCACAGGCTGGCTGGGCTCTGTGTGGCCTTTGGCTTGCAGACCACCACCTTTGCCCTAGCTCTGTCCTGGGACACAGCACTGGGGTGCTGGCTGCTGCCAAGTTGTTTGAGCAGCAGTCCCAGGTAGCAGGAGGGGAGTGGAGCAGAGCTGGCTGGTGTTTGTGCCAGTGTGCACGTAGGGCAGCCTGTGCTTCTCCCTGCCAGCTGCTGTGGGGGCAGCACATGGGGCACAGCTCCCTGCCAGCCCAGGGGCAGCTGTGGCTCTGGTGGCACTGACGAGGGTGCCAGTGTCTGCCGGGGGCAGCGGTGCCTTCCCCTGCTGCCGTTCTGCTGCTCTGGCTGCAGACTTCAGGCTGGCAGAGGTTGGTTTAGGAGCAAGGCTACCGCCCTGGGGCTGTGGGGTTTCTAGTCGGACAGGAAAGCCTTTTAGGGAGTTGCTGGCCTGCTGCCAGGGCTGCTACTTCCTTCCCATAATGTGAGCGTGGAATTCAACAAAGCCAAAACAGTCCAAAAAATATTTATTTTTTTTTTAAAGAAGTTCTTTAATTGTGGTTTTTGCTGTTGCACGAAGATGACCATGAGCCCGTTATTATTAGCATTAGTAGTACTGTTATTATTTTCTCCCTGCCTCGTTGGGCCGCCGTGCCAGGCTGGTGCCTGGAAATGATGTGGAGCCACCAGCTCGGCACGGAGCTCGGGCAGCTGCGGCACCGAGCCAGGCCGGCTCTCTGGCTGCTGTCCCGGCCACGTGTGCCCGTGCAGGAGTCCCAGATCCTTCCCCAGGAGAGGTGGATCCCCCCTGGGAGCCTCCAGCCCCGCTCTGGGCTGTCGTGGACTGTCCCCATCAGCCGCGTTTTGGGGTGCTGGACACGCGTGCCGTGCCACAGCCAAACGCTGCGCACTGCTTTGAGTTCCCTTGCTGGCCACGGGGGCTTCTTTATGTTTTTCTCTTGCGCTATGAATGGGTTTTGCTGTAAATTATAGCTTTGCGCACATTCCCTCGGGCCGAGGAAAATAAGCTCTGCCAAAAAGCCAGCCCGGATCGCTGAGTGGCTCCCCCTCTCCGCTCCCTAATTGAAACCAAATGTGCTGAGATGTAGGATTGTGGGATTTCTGGCCGGCTCCCAGGAATCCGCAGAATGCGAGCGAGCTCCCAGAGGCATCTTGCATCAGCCCGGAGAAGTTCTGTGCTCACCTGGCTCCGCGGGCTCGGGGCTCGGAGCCGGGCCGGGGTGAGTGCCTGGGCCGTGAGGGGCCGTGAGGGGCCGTGAGGGGCTCGGCCCGCGGGGCGATCGGGACTGTG